CACAATTCAGCGGTAATTTGTAGCAGTCTGTCACCCACAATACAGACATTACCCTATGAAGGAGCTTTAGAAACCTTTCCTACACACTTATATTACACACACACACACACACACACACACACAGACGCCACTCTCTCACACACACACACACACAGACGCCACTCACAGACACACACACATGCACACACACACACACACCAGTCATCTGTCGGTTTGTAAAGATCAAAACACCAAAAAAGACAGTCAAAAGGAATACGGGTTTCCAAGTGCCAGGAGCATTTCACACACACTCACATACACACACACACACGTACACACATGGTGCCAGGAGCAAGGTGCTGTAGGGATGCTGGTGCTCCCTAGGTAGTTGTCTTATCTGATTATGGTAACGATGTAGAGAGTAGCGGAGGAAAATGTAGCCTGGGGGAGGGAGGGACTGACAGAGGAAGAGAGATGGGGGAAGTGAGGAAGGTGGCTCAGTGTAGTTAAGTGATTGCTACAAAGTAAGTCTACTGTGGGACTTACCTTTCAGTGCATTTCTGCAGAATTTATTACTAATTGGTTAGTTTTCTGTGGAAAATCTCCTCTGTCACTGCTGTGGATGAAGGTACAGCTGAGTGATGGTGTGTGTGTGATAATCTGTGTAGAATTAGCATGACGTGTTTCTTATGTGGGTGTGTTTTATCTGAAGCGACTCACTGTTAAAGCCAAATAGTCTATTGATGTCATGAAGCTCTTCACTTAACTTGATGTAAAATTTCAATGAATCCATCCACCACTAGACTAACAACCCATTCACTTCTTAATCTTGAAGGAATGAAATAAACAGTGCATCAGCTTCAAAATGTGAGAAAGGTTTCTTGTGCACCATAAAGTTTGATAGATTATTACTCACTAGTCCACAAACATGAAGAATAACAACAAGCCGGAACAAAAACTTGACGTTTAGACAGGTTAGTCGTATTGAACCCTTATGAATGACCACACCTTGTAAATTATTTTACCAGCTGAAGGCCCTAAGTTTTCTCACTGCTCGCTGTAAATGGCGTGCATCATGGTTCAGTGTCAGGACATTTATTGTTTTTTATTTCTATGAATAATCTTAAATGTGCAAGATACACCTTTATGCTGATGACACAGTTATTTAATGCACAACCCCCACAGAGGCACAGGCTTTTTTTCCAGCTTCATAGAGCTTTTATTGTTCAAAGATCTCTACTTGATCTGAAGTTTGTCTTAAATGCTGAAAAGACTATTTACAAAATCCAGAAAGAGGCTTATCAAACCCACTGCATTTATTAGGTAAAGCGAGGAATATGATGGTGTCGTATCAGTATGGTACTTTGTTATTGACATGTAGTTGCTTGTGAAAAACCTGGAGCCTAATTTAGGCTTTTTCTTGTGAAGAAGAATAAGGATGTGAGAGACATTTTTGCCTATGCTTGATAAACATGAGGACACTTTGTACATGAGTGCTTACATTGTCTGGACTGAGTATATCATGGAGCAATAAGATTAATTAAAAACTGTAAGGCCTTCACTCATCACTGCACATTGTATGCTCCAGTTGGTTGGCTCTCTTTGATCGCTCAAAGACTTCTCCATTGGCACTGTTTTATTTGGGCTACCACCAGCATACCACCTCCAGTTAATGTCAGGCTTCTTTCTAGAAATATTTTAATGCTTCAGATTTCTTTTTGAGTCCAATTTAGTGTGTTTTATAGTTGTTTTTATTTATTTTTAATCTTTGCAGCCTAATACAGAACCATCAGAGACAGGAGGCAGTGTTAAAACTGTTAAATACATTAAACTGGAGGCCCTTTGCAAAATCTGTACAAGGTTCATCCAGTTGACCAGTTTATGATCAATTCAATACAAATAATGTACTTCCAAAGAATGTCTGAACTTATAAGTGAGAGTGATAAACTAAGACTACTCATACATTCATGCAATATATGGAGTGGAACTTTTCTGCAGCAGCATGAACATGCAATAACAAAGTGTTTTGGTGGTTAGGATTGCACATGTATACGATGACCTGATAGTAGAGTGACAGGCTTGCAATGAATGTAAAGAACGGGGATGTGGGCTGATTAGCTCATGAGTGTAGTGACGTTGAGATTGGAAGTGGAGAGATTTTGACACCATGGGAAAACAGAAGTAATGGAGAGAACAGAACGGTAGGATTGTGGAATAGCGCCCTAACACAGAGGAATAGAGGCAGAAAGTGAGTAAGCAGATCTTCCTTATTGAACATACGATTTAGCTTCATTTAGTTTTAAATATTTGTCTATCATTCAAGATCTCTCCCCACCTACCAACAA